GAGAGGAGAGGAGAGGAGAGGAGAGGAGAGGAGAGGAGAGGAGAGGAAGGCGGGATGCTAGAGAAACTGCAGAGGAGGAGGCAGGGCTTGGTCATTAGATCTAGAGAAGGGAGCGGGAAGAAAGAAAAGACTGGCCACTTGGAGCCTCCGAGAACGGAGGCACGGGGTCCTAAGGTCCTAGGCCCCAATGAGCCAGCCCCTTTTCCTCATTGAAATTTATTCTCCCAGCCCTGAAGCAAAAGAGGAGACCTGCTCAATGCCCAAAGCGATCCAGTTAAACATGAGGTTCTCAGTTTTATTTGTGAAAATGTTTGATGTCCAATGCCCCCCCCACACACACACACACACATCTCTGGGGCCAGGGCAAGCAGAGTACAGGCAAAGTGGCGTTTTGCCAAAGGGGAACCGGGAGTCTTGATGGCTGAGGGCGAGTGCGCAGGCGGGGTGGTCCCTGCAGATCTCTCCAGGGCCTGTCGTCCTAGGTCCACTCCTCTCAGGTGCCTGTCAGCCCTGCAACACACGGAGTCCTCACCCCGCCCCCCAGCCCCCCTCGCCCTCTCTGCCCGTCCACCCCCGGCCACACTGTGCTCTCCGCGCTCACCTGTCAGAGTCTGGAGCTGGTCACCCGGGTCCTGGCCACAGTCAGGCCCACTGGCGGGGGCTGTCCCCCGTTTCTGCCTATGCCAGACCACAGCCCAGAGGGCGCCGACGGCTAGAAGCTTGTTGAGAAAGACGCAGGCCAGGAGGAAAAGGGTGGAAGTCGGTGGAAAGTGGATCTCGTTTCTCCAGAGGCTCCTTGGAGAAACAAGGAGAGCATGTGGGAGGCCTCGAGGTGGCCTCAGAGAAGGATGGACGACACCAGGAGCTTCCTGGGGCTCAGGGTACCCTCCACCCAGCACCACCCCTGGGATGGAGCTCTGTGGGGCGTGGGAAGCCTGTGTTCAGGAGACCTGGGTTCCAGGCATGGGTCTGCCTGCTGAGCACATTTAAACGCATCGCCTTCCTTGGCTGAACAGTTTCTGCCTTCATGATGGTGTGATGTGGGGGGAGTGGAGGGGCACGGGTGTGCTCCATGGCTATACTACCAAGGTTTAATACCAGTACACAGACATGAACCATCAGAACTGATTCTGGTCCCATCAAAGGAGCAGGTCTGGGGACCCCAGCTTTGTACTAAAGCACTAAAACATTCGTTGTTGCTGAGTTGTGGGCATGTCCTAGGGCCGCCAGGGGAGGTGCAAGGGGTGACCATTCAGGAGTCTTGGAGGTGCAGCTATTCACCAACTGTGATGAAAGAATTTCCATATTTTAGCAGCTGGCACAGTCATACCAACACGCACTGGCTGGTTGGAAGGCTGTTTAGACAGGACCATATCCAGGACCTTTCAAGCTCTAACTGCCTTGGAATGTGTAGTCCTGGGACCCGCAGTCTTCACCCCATACCTGGGCTCTGAGGGTAGGAGTCTGCCAGGGATCTTCTGGAAGACCTGTCACTGTACCTGGAGATGCTTTGCTCCACCTGGGAGTCCTCAAAGCTCGGGGACTCCTCCGGGATCCAGACCTCACCGGGGTCCTGGCGATCAAGAGGGTCTGTGGGAGACAGAGCCGGTGACCTTGCACCCCTCCCAGTCAAGGTGGGGAGAAACCTCGCTGGGTGGGGTGAGGCCTGTGGGCTCCAGCCCTGTGTGGATCAAGTTGTTAACTCCCTGAGCCTCAGTTTCCTCTCCTGTGAAGTGGGGCAATAGGTAACAGCTCCTCAATAATAGTGTGGTGGATTCAGCAGAAGCATCCTTTGCAGTGCCTACCACCTCCTAAGATGGGAGCTCAGTAACTGTGACTCCCGCCCTCCCATCTCTCAGGGTCTTTGGGATCACATGGAATAATGGGGGTATTTGAAAGTCCTGTGTGAGCTGCCAAGCTGTCTCTACCAGCTATGGATTATTATTATTATTATTACTTTTATTATTATTATTAGTTTTCTGCCACCCTTGGAGGAGTTGCCTGAGCCTTAGACCCTGATAGGGCTGAAATTTTGTGTCCCCTCACCCCCTACTTTCTCTTCCTACTTAGAAAGGTGGTGAAAGCGGGGCTTGGGGTCTAGGGCAGGCAGCCTCCCTAAGCTCCCCACCTTAGAGGATACTAGGCTGGAACCTCATTTCCATGGAAAGGGCCATGTTGGGGGAGGATCTGGGAAAGAAGACAGAAAGGGGTGATAACACCAGATCTCTCCTTTAGGACACGATCAGTCCTGGAGACCCAGGCAGAGGCTTCCCTGGAGGGCACCCCCCGTGCCAAGCTCAGGGTGGAGAGGCCCTCCCCGCCCTGTGTCACTCAGGCAAGCTCGGAATAAGGCTGCCCAGCAGTTAGCAGCAGGGGCCTGGGGGAAGGCTGTCACTTACCCCCAGCTCTTTAATTCTGTCATCTCCTGTGAGCCTCACGGGAGCCCTATGGGGCCAGCAGGACTGACTGCATCATCTCCACTTAAAGATGAGGAATTAGAGTCCCAGAAAGGTGACGCATGTTGCCCAGGGACACAAGCAGTTCCTGTCTAAGGCTGTTTTTCTGTACCTGGTTGGTGTTTAATTTATGTTGGTAGGTGCATTGGGTGGTTGAGTGAGGGAATAAATGAATCTCCTCCAACTCCTTCCAGACCCCCCACAGTGTTCACATCCCAGCTGATGGGAACAGATAAAGCTGTTTGGGGAAGCAGGCCCACAGGGAGCTCAGACAATGCCTTGTGCGGCTTAGGGACGGGTCCCCTCCCTACAGGTGATGCGGTCCTGCAGGGAGCACAGCCTGGACAGAGGCATTGGGTGGGATTCTGGCCCCCTGTGCAGTAAGCAACCTGCACGACCACCCTCAGAGGAGGCACAAGTTCTACAACGGGGGTTTCCCAGGGTCCCCGGAGGCCCAGAGTGTGTCATAAGCACAGCCACCAAAGACATGAGCCCCAGCCCAAGGAGGGGCCAGGGTGCTGCCAGCTGCCCACTCACCAGCCAGGACCTCCACCAGGACTTTCCTGAGAGTGTCGGCCTCGCTACCATCGAGGCTCTGGCACTGGTAGAGGCCAGAGTCCTGGGCTTGAAGATTCTTCAGCGTAATGGTGAGCGTGCCGCCCAGCGCATCATCCTTGATGACCGTGCTCCCATTCCGCATGTTCAGGAAGGACAGCAGCCACGAACTGTGGGTGCTGACCACCCGCTGGCACGGCTCCTCTGCACCCAGCTGGCGGCACCAAGCTTTGCGCCTCCGCCAGTGCTTGAAGGCGTCATAGGGGCAGGAGACCCGCAGGGACTGGCCTGCCAGGCCCTGGAACACTGTGGTGTTGAGGCCTCTGGACAGCTCTGGGGAGGAGACCTTCATTCACTCTTTCATTCATGTACTAAATATTTATTGAACACCTACTTTCTATTGAGACAGAAATCCTGCTCTTAAGGAGCTCAAGTTCTTATAGAAGCTGGAAGAAGGTGGCACAGCCAGGGCATGTGTTTACGGGAAGTTGGAAACCATGAAACCTGGGTCCCAGGTCTGGCTCTATCATCGCTGGACTTGCTGAACATCGTTGCAGAAGTAACTGACCCTCTCTGGGCCTGTTTCCAAAGACACGTGATCTTGAAGTTCTCTCCAGTTCCATTCGCACATCTTCTCCCGATCACACGGAAACGAGGCCTCTCCTCACCCCCCTCCATCTCAAGAGAGAAGGGCTAGTGCCCGTCTCAGGCCTGCGGCTGGTTCCGCAGGGGCTGGGCACCCCTCCCGCCCTGGCCACGCTTGTTCCTCTGGCGCTGCCCACGCTGGTACCGGCTCTGCATTCTGCGCTCTCTGACTTTTAGCTTCCAGCTTCCCTATTTCTGTGGCTTTGTTCCCCTTTCAGGATGGACCCTTCTCAGAGCTATTTTGGGGGAGACATGAGGCTGCTATTTTGGGGTCCTCCTTGGGGTGGGGGAGATGGGCTCAGAGCACCAATCTACTCCCAAGGCAGGGGTTGCAAGGGAATCACCCAGATTCCCCCCTGCCTCAATTTCCCCTCTTGGTCCCCTTCTGTCACCCCATCTTCAACCAGGGGTGATAGGAACTTGACAGATAGGATTGGGGAGCTGGCGGCCTGCCTTTTGGAACCAGAGAGTCATGGTGAGCAGTGGCCCCTCCACATGCCATCCCACCCATCCCCCTGCTTCCAGCACCTTCCTC